CGAAGACCTTGAAGAACATCGTTGAGGCGCCATCGTATTCGAAGTGGATGGCGAGGGCGCCCTCCGCATGGAAAACCCGGGCGACCTCACCGCATCCGCGGGTCATGAAGATCTTGCCTGGGGAGACGACCTCAACCTCCGCCCCCGTCGCCGGGGCATCGCACTCAGTCCCTATAGGATTTGAGTTTCTTTGATTGTGTTATGGAATAAGCAAAGGATTTCTTCCAAGAGATTGGAGTGGATGTTAGAATTCTTGTGAAATGTAGTACAAATAAATTCTGTTTTTGCGGGGGTAAAGTGTTTTATTCCATATATGCAAAGTTATAGTCAGCTGGTAAAAGCTCAGCGATACAAGGTGGGCAATTATGTAGCCAACAAGCCGGGCTACACTCTACTCTCCGATGGTTCGCGGGCAATCTGCTACTCTCTGTTTTGATCTCTAGAAATTTTCATGGGAAAAAACTCTCTACCAGTTAAGAGGTGCTTAATCTCCATGACTAAATGACCATAAGCCGATCGATCAAGAATATCTGAGGACAATGAAGAAAGCATCATCGAAGAGTCAGATTGGATTACCATGGGAAGGTCTGGTCGCTCCAAAGCTAGCGCTAGACCCTCCCTAATTGCATGTAGTTCCACTTCGAGGACTTCGTTGTAGAAAAAGAGGTGCCGATAAGCAGCAAAAATCAAGCTTCTATCCGGATTCCTCAGGACCATCCTTGAACCTGCAGTCCCCTCTGAGGATAATGATCCGTCAACCGAAAGGGCGACCCATCCTGCAGCAGGAGCAGGCCATGGTCTGGCCGACGCAGTTTCCTTGTTCTTGGGTTTTGACCACCCCACTCTCTCTACCATTTTACCTTTGATCACCTCCTCCATATTATACTTTTTTGCATGCCATAAAGAGTTCAAATAGCTATTGAAGAAGTTGGCTGAGATTTTTACTAGAACTTGGTCCTTTCCATGCAATAAATCGATCTGCAAATTCCATACTCTCCATATTAAAATCAGCACCATGTCATGTACCCTCTCAGTGCAGTTTGCTCGGACATTGAGCACCCATTCCTCCCCAGTATTTACTAGACATTTGTTGCTTGGGATTGGCCATATCCTCCTCATTCCTTCCCAGAGCTGCATCGCTTCCTTACATGCCACCAAAGCGTGGAAGGAGCTCTCATTTTCGACACCACACAGCGGGCAAGTTGCACGTGTTCATAGGTGTCTATATTGCATGCACTTAAATGTAGGGGCACCAGTCGCCGCCTTCCATGCCATCACTTTCATTTTTTGCGGCACAGTTGGTTGCCAGATAAGGTTCCAAGTCGGCCGTGTACCAACAGGTTGAGCACTAAAAGCACTATTAGAAAAGGCTTCCTCATGGTTTTGCATAGCTAGATGATAACTGTGAAGTATCCACTTTTCTCCGGGTGCCAAGCAAGAAAATCATCTTGCTGTCTCGGAGACGTACGAATCTTACGAATTTGCAGCACATCCATAGGCCAAAAGTGCTCATTAAGCAGCCGATTATTCCAAATACCATTGTCGTCCATGAAGTCAGAAACTCGGTTCAAACGACAATTCCTCTTTAGAGTGGTCGGTTTGAAGGAAGGTCCACAGGGGATCCATAGGTCTCGCCAAGTACGAATCTGAGTACCATTACCCACCCTCCAAATAATCCCTTTTTTTAAGCAACTGAAGACCATGCTCGATACCACGCCACACCGCAGAGACGTTGCCAGCAAAAGTTGTGCCGATCAAATTCCCATTGGGATAGTATTTTGTACGTAGAAGACGTGCACATAAACTGGCCGGAGACTCTAGGAGGCACCAAGCCTGCTCGGCTAGCAAATTTTCTTCTAACACTGAACTCAATCACTTGCTGCCGTTACGTAGGAAAAATTCATAAGGATTCTAATCCTTCAAAAATGCTATGAGGATCCTTTGAATCGAAGAGACCCTAAGCCATTCGGGTGATACAGTAGCCGGCCATGACAAGTTACTACTAATCGAAGCTGCCGAGAGAAAAGTATAGTAGTACTACATGACGTCTTGAGGAGATAAATTACTGGATGGAAGGTTCTGGTAGGATATAGGTCCGGCGCGTCTCCACTCACTCATATCACCGGCAGAACGGAACAGCGATTGGAGCAAGTAATGTAATGAAAAAAGGAAACCAAAGATGACACGGAACAACTACTACAAGTGAGCGAGTGAGTGGCCATAATGATGAGATGGATCGATCCATGGGCCTTTGACCGTTTAGCCAACTGGCATGCAACAACGGCCGGAAGAAAAGAAACGCGGGAAACTGGAAGAAGCAAGCAAGCAAAGGATGGAAACGGACGTGCATTTCGTAATGGAAAACGGCAACGGCCAGGTCAAAAATGCGGAGCTGCAGCTGCACGTCCGCATCACACCCAACCCAGGAGGAGGAGGAGCACGTCGTCAAAGCCAACGGGCAACTTGTCAATTGGTCACCTCCCTTGCACCGGCGGAGCGCCACGCGTTCGTCCGGCATCTGTCTACATGCACACGGTCAGCCACGCCGGGTAAATGAAGTGATTGAAACGGGGTAACGGACGGGCCAGAGCGACTAGCGTCGTGAGCGCGTACTGCTCATGTTTGCATGGAATCAGATGTGTTTGTTTTTTCTTTTCAGTCTTTGATGGTATATCTGTGAGATCTTACATTGAGATCCGTGTAATTTTTGTTAGTTTTTTTTCTTTATCTTTGTTGTTTTATGTCAGTCTAATAAGACTTGATTAAATCTTAGTCGATTGAGAATTAGCCTCTTCTCAATTTTCTCTTTTGGCAGACCAAACGGAACTGAGAAAATTGAGTTTTTTCCCTCTTTTATTTTTGGCAAAACGAATCATATCTCCCAACGAACACCAGAAACAAAACGGAAACACCATCCGTAGCTGGAACGAGCCATCTTTTCCGGGACAAGGTAGTCCCGCCCATTTGGAGTATCTAAACGTGCAGTTTTTCGCATAACAAAGCAAGAAGAGAGTTGCCCAGCGCCTCACGTCACGTGGTTGATGCTTGGTCGTTCGTTGCAGGCAGGTAGCGGCTAAATCGTTGCGGTCGGCCTTTTTCCTTTGCGTCCGTCCGTCCGTCCGTCGGTGGACCGTCGACACCCCAACCACACATACGATTACGACCCAACCAAATGCTATTCCCAAGCAAACCATCCATCAATGTTGTTTTCCCTGAACCGACTGCTGACCGACTCACGACACCTTAACAGAAAACGGCCTTCTTTTTCTCCGCCCAAAGCTTTCTCCCTTCCTTCCCAACCCAACCCAAAACGAAACGAAACGAAACCACCGACTGACGGCTCGTAGCTATCCGATGCCAGCATTAGCACACTACTAATACTATATATACACTACTAATTTGCGGCCCGTGTTAGGTGGTCAGGTTGGACGGATGGATGGATGAGGGTTTCCCGGGACCAGAAATGATGAACTGCCTCCGAAAACAACGTCTAACCGGAACGGAAATATCTCGTGCCGGGCAAACCGCGCACACCCATCAATCCATCCATCCATCCATCAATCAACGTACTACGTGTATGTGTGCATGCACGCCTGCCTATCATAATTCTAATTCCAGGAAGGGCCTTGCGACTGACTGGTAACCAACCAACCAACCACCAGCAGCAGCAGCAAACAAACAAACAAATTAACAAACCATCAGGCTGACGTCGCCAACGGAACAAACCGACACAGCAGATCGCGGTACAGATATAGTACTACTACTGCTGCTGGCCACTGTTTCGGGGTGCATACAAATATAGCCGGTGGATGCGAAGGGAATTGTATATGTGCATAGACGCGACACCGGCAACGGCAGGCGTGGCTCTCCTCACCTGAATCCATCCGAGGCATGCAGTAGTTAAAATACATAGTTGCTGTAAGAAGAAAAAAGAGTCATCAAATGTTTGTTGTGCCTCTGTACTAGAGTTCAGATACATAGTTTGATGGAAATGGAATTACTACGTCAAGTTCATTTGGTCTTGACACGGTTTGAAAACCAGAAACCAACAGCAACTTGACTAGTTTTAGCACAGCAGCGGCTGCAGTCAGAGAGAGCTTACTTGTTCCTCCGTCTTTGTGGGACAGTAATGCAAGCGGTCAGTCATGTGACTTCACTTTGCGTTGCGGTCCGTTGTTTTTTCTTGTTAAGCTAGCTAGCTGCCGTTTCAAAGCTCCTTTCCGCCATGCCATTCCCATCCCCACACGCCCTCCCGGCCGTCCATCATTCAATCGCCCACATGTCAAAAAGTATTGTACTCCTACTACTTCTCCCCCTATAAGTCAGTAAAACCAAAAAACTAGTAAAAGGAGAGAGAGAGAGGGGGGTGCGCAACAGCAGGCAGTTAGCTGTCGCTCGCCCATCCTCCACTGCCGATCCCTCCCACCATAATTCCGTTTCGTCCTCTGCTCCCCAAACCAGACACTCCAACCATAAAACAGCCAACGCAAAACAGAAATGTGCACCTACTACCAGCACCAAAACGAAACGCCTATGTTAGAGTAGTTGTTAGTAAAACTGAAGAAGCAGATGTGATCGATCCGGGAACTCGGCCTCTCCTTTTCCCGATCTCGTTTCATTTCTTCTTTTCCCTTTCTCTATACAAAAAGAACTCTTAGAGCAAGCAACATGTTTGCTCTGCCCTGCCTAGTTTATTTGCCACGCTAGTGACGAAGTTTTCTTCGTCTCGTCTCTGATGTAGAAGGAACTACCATGAACATGAATCTATCTTCTTCGATGGAGCTTCGAGCAAGGAAGGAAAGAAACAAACTAATCGAGACACGGAACTAGGGAATTATTGTCGGGCAACAAGATCTAAACAGGCCGCCGAGCTTCGCTGCTTCTTCTTCTCCTCTTCACTTGCCGCCTCTGCTCTGCCTTCCGTTTGTTTCTTGGCTCTTGAGTGGAGCAGAGAGGCTCATTTTCGTTTGTTGTCGAGCTGCTTTTTGCTTACCTGCTTCCTACTCGATCTTGGCCATGCTCATCATGCGCTTGGCGGCGTGGACGCCGTCGGCCGGCGACGACCGGGGGTCGAAGCCGGACATGTAGTTCCGGACCTCGATCCGGATCATCTCTTGCATCATCGACAGGAACTCCCCGTTGAAAGGCGCCGCCGCCCGTGGCTGGGGCTGCGGCGGCGGCTGGAGCATGAACGGCATGGGTGGCGGCGGCGGCATCTGAGGCGCTGCGGCGGGCTGTACAGGAGCAGGAGGAGGTGGTGGTGGCATGGACATAGGCTGCGCCACCGGGGCTGGCTCGGGCGCGTCCAAGCCGGGCAGGGAGAGGGACAGCGAGAGCGACGTCGCCGGAGGAGGAGGGGGCGGCGGCGGAGACGGACACGGAGGCGACGGCTGCGGCGTGGCCGTCGGGAGCACGACCACCCCGCCGGCCCGCGCGACCGGGCGGTACACGTGCGGCTGCTGCGAGGCGGCGGACGGCATGACGGAGGGGAGGCTCTGGTGACTGGAGTCGCTGAGGTCCGACCCCGACGGGCTCCCGGGGCTGAAGCAGAGCCCCGGGTACCCGTCGCTGCTGGTCCGCTTCAGCGGCCGGCGGTCCTCATCGTCGTTTGCCATGGCGTCATCAGCCGGCGATGCCGATGCAGAGGAAGAGGAGGAGTACTTGCGCTTGAGCGTGGAGTTCCAGTGGTTCTTGATGGCGTTGTCAGTGCGGCCGGAGAGGAGGCGTGCGATGGTGGCCCACTTGTTGCCGAACCTGGCGTGGGCGCGGAGGATGGTGTCGTCCTCGTCGGGGGTGAAGGGGCGGTGCTCCACCTGCGGCGAGAGCTGGTTGCACCAGCGGAGGCGGCAGGACTTGCCGGACCGCCCCGGGATGGACTTGCTGATGAGGGACCAGTTGCGCGCGCCGTGGCGGCCCACGAGCCGCTGCAGCGCGTCGTCCTCCTCGGGGCTCCACGGGCCCTTGATCCGGTCCACGTCCTTGCCGCCCCCGCCTCCTCTGCACGCCGCCATGGCCGCCGGTAGATCCTCGATCGTAAGTGATACGAGTAGTGAGCGAGTGATTTGGGAGGTTACCGATCTGGTAGTCTACTTGGGATGGGGTGTGGAGGAGGAAGGAGACAGAGGGGAAGGGTGCGGGGGAGCGGAGGGGGCAGGGGTGGGATATATACCTGGGACGGGAGGCCGGGGTGACCGGAGCGAGCCGGTTGTAACGGGTTCCAGCCGAGCAGGGGAAGGGGACGGGGCGGTTCATGCTACTAGTATTTGTGGCGTGGGTACAGCTGGCCCCGGGACACGCGGCGTCTCTCCAACTGAAACCCAAATGACTCTCCTGCTCCTGCGTGTGGTATGGACGGGGATGGATAGGGATGGGGAAGGAGGGAGGCAAATAATATCTCTCTCTCGCCCATCTTTTCCAACAGAAATGACCAATACCTGATTATTCGGCTTTTCAATAATAATAGGCAAAAAAAATGCATGTACGACGGCGTGAAGATTGTTTCGCCCAGCTGATATTTGAATTTTTTTTCATCAATTTACTTTTTTTTCATGATGATATGTGTTTCGTTCACATCGTAAAGATCAAAGTACAAGTTTCCTTAAGACCGACATGACAAAACTAAAAAGACAACAGAACCGTCACTAAGCTTGACACCCTACCTCCGGCACCACCACAGCAATCATCAAATGAAAAAAAAATGATGGATCACCTCCTAACCCAAGCTTGACGCGGCTCCATCGTCGATGTGCAACTTTGCGGACCTTCAAGGTGGCTCACCAAAGGTGAAGACATTGTCGTTGAACAAATCAGACAGCGGCAACACCCCGGACACGTCATCGAACTACAGATCTGGCACCTCGCCATGACTAAGACGCCGGAGGAGAAAATCATACCTGTCGTCCATCAACCATGAACCCAACACAAGTTTCGTCTTACATATGTCGTTGATGCAGACCACAATCTGCATCTGCTCTAGGACTATCTGCCAAGCGCCTTGTCGACGCTAGAGCAAACGCCGGCACAACAGCGCAGCCACAAGTCCATCACAAGAATGTTGTCACCGCCGCCACGACATCCTCGCCTGAACCGACCGTTTCCCAAATTCATCACCGGCCATAAAGACAATCGCCTAGCTGGAGAAGAATCTGGAGCCTCTAGCATCGTTGTGCCGCCACTGAAGCCAAAATGCCGAACGATCCGAAAACCTAAACTATTAGGGCCCTAGAACCTAAATGTAAAATGATCCGCACGCACGGGATCGGATGACCCCCCTCACCACCAACAACCAAGAGATCGCCGGCGGAGGGGAGCCACCGGAAGACTGCGCCGGAAGGGTAGGCTTTCGTGCCGGCGGCGGCTAGGGTTCCTGTCGCTGAAAGGTCACATTAGCTCTGTCAATTTACATTTTTTGTTTTTTGTTCTCCATGCAGACGCGTCGACAACGTAACCGTTTTCGTCCATGTGCGTGTGTACACGCGTGTGGCGCATGTTGGACGCGAGAACATGTGCTATTTTTTCTACCACCACTTAACTTGATTATGTATCTCTAGGCAGTAGTAATTCGGATACCATGCCAGATTTCCTACAGTAACGTGTGAGGCACAGGACGAGCTACTCATTCCTGTTTCGCTTTCTTTCTTTCTTTCTGTTTGAACGTGAGAAATAGAGGAAGGAAAAGGGAATTGGTGTTGCACTTTTTTTTTCCTTTTCCTTGTTGGACTGGTGCGACCCGATGCGATGCTGGTGAGTCGTCGTGGCCGTTGGGAGTTGAGGAGGCGCGGTCGCGGGATTGGGATTGCTGGCCCACTCCAGTCTCCAGTGCACTGCGCACGGCACGAGAAGGGAGCCAACTGCTCCAAAACAAACCCGGTCGACTCGACATTAAACCGGGTGCATGGATGGACGTGGCAGGGTGTCCGTCGTTATGACGGATGCACCGCCGTGCCCCGGAAACAGTTTTGATCACGTCCACCCACCCGCCCGCCCTCTGTTTTGTTTCCATCGAAAATGGATGGATGTGTACCACCCATTGCCGTTGTCCAATCTGCATGCGGTTGGTTGGTTGCGCGCGCGTGTCCCTGTCCGAGGGATCGGGACGTCTCCTCCTCCCACGACGACGAGACGGTCCGACCAGACAGACCACTCGTCTGCGTTACACTTCTACCGGCCGGAGGGAGGTCCATTTATCCGCGGGACTAACCACCAGGACGGCACGCCGCAACCAACAGCAAATCAAAGCAAACTAACTTCATTCCTCGTCTTCTCTCCTCTCCTCCGGGTCGGTGGCGCGTCTCACGTCTCAGCTATAGCCTATAGTAAGTAGCGTGCGTGCTTTCTTGCTTCTGTGGCGCAAACAAACGCCCGGCCGACGGAGTGTTGGGCGGGATTGCTGCTGCGTCAACCAACTTGTCGCCCGTCCCCATCCCCATCCCCATTCCAAACATCTGAAAGCCCCGCCTGCACCAACCGTCTTACTCCCATTCCACATCTTAATCTCAAGCCTAACAAACAGCCATACTACTATTAAGGTGACG